GGACGTTACACAAACGATTTTCATTAAAAAAAAAAAATGTATAGGTGACCGAGCTATACCTACTGCATATTTATTTAAGGGCGAAAGTGCAGTATAGGTCGGTTACAAATAAACAGTATTTTACTTATGCGGACTAGCTAGCACTATACGGACGGGTTAGTAAGAGTAAGTTTGATTTAATCTGCATTTTCTTAATTAAAAAACTCTTTAGGTTTCCGGGCTATACTGCATATTTATTTAGGGGTAAAAGTGCATTATAGCTCGGTTACAAATAAATAGTATTTTCGGGGATAATACCACGAGAGCTTCAAAATTACCGATAATTTTTCACGATTGCGTGTTTTCTATAATTTCACGAGTCCGTAGGACGAGTGGAAATTTGCAGAGAAAACACGCATGAGTGAAAAATTATCTGGTTAATTTTAACGCTCAAGTGGTATTTAGAGGATTATTTCACGTATGAGAATGCAAAAAATATGGAAATAAATATGTATTAAACGATTTGAACATCTTAACAATCAATACAAATAAATGGTTGCTATCAGGAACCGTTTGTTTGTATCAAAAATTAGCATGACAACCATGTATACAATAACATGGGAGAATTATCGCTGTAATTCTCTCTAGTTAAACAAATGGAAAAGAGAATTTTCGCTGTAATTCTGAAAATCGTCACTTGTCTTATGGGATTTCTAATACATGAGTGGAATAATCAGTACAATTTTAATTTGTAATTTTTCAATTAAAGATTATCAGATTTCCGGTGAAAAATTTTCTTTGAAGTGCAATATTTGGATGTTTAACAAACAAATTTTAATGAAAAAAAAAAATACATTTTAGGTGACCGGGCTATACTGCATATTTATTTAGGGGATAAAGTGCAGTATAGCCCGGTCACCTAAAATAGTATTTTTTTGATATTTTTCAATATAATTTTAATTTGTAATTTTTAAGTTAAAGATTTCCGCTGGAAAATTTTCTTCAAAATGCACTATTTGAACGTTAAACAAACGATTGTTATTCAAAAAAATGCTGTTTTAGGTGACCGGGCTATACTGCACTTTTACCTTAATTTTAATATCAGTAGCAATAATTAGTTTACCAATTATTTGTTTTAATTTTTTTAATAAATGGGGTTGTTTAATTTTCTTCCATTTTTTTTTTTAAATATTACCACTGTTGACGTGCACGAAGTATTTCGTGCCCTAGTGCGCGAAATATTTCGTGTGTGTAGAAAAAAACAATTTTTTTCTACAGACGTCAAAAAATGATGACATTTTCACACTCATTTCCGTTCGAAAAATGCCACATTGGTTTTATTTACCTTAACGACGTACACGAAATATTTCGCGCACTAGGGCACGAAATACTTCATGCACGCTCAGTGGCGATATTTCAAAAATACATAAATGGACGAAAATTTAACTCATATATTCTGGAGTACCTATCCACTTAAATTGATAAGAGCAGGATATTGAACTTTTTCGATTCATCCTCGAAATACATTAGAATTACGGTTTCACTCACTTTTTTGACGGTTTGGTGCGAACATCATCATTTTTTGATTTTTTGGTCAAAAGGTTTGCTGCAATTGCAAAACTAGCTGTATTATTATATTGGGAACTACAAATTCTTCTACAATTTCTATTTCTAATTAACATTTTTTGCCGAAATGATGCCGCGTCGGTCAGACCACAAAACATCCCCCCTTAGAAATGTAAGTCTTATGAGAGACGTCAGTCTAGTCGTTTCAGCTTTGCCCTCCAATCACTAGAGGCGCTTCAATCAACCTATTAAAGTTTTCTTTTTCCTGCCGGACCGTGCGCCAAGATTTGAAGTTTATTTTGTCATTTCCAGTCGTCAAAATTTAAATTTTGAACTTCTCCCAACATTTAGAATTATCAATTACCTATCAATTATCAATAATTATTATCTCAAAATGTCTTCTCCCAGTTTGTTAATTGAAAAGCATCAGAAATGCTGTGTTCCGGGGTGCGGCGACAAATACAGCAGCTATTTCCGGTTTCCAAAAGATGCCGAAAAAATGAAACAATGGCTAGAAAAAGTTCGCAATCCTTTACTAAATAGCCTCAGTGTCGAGAAGGCTTATAATAATTATAGAGCGTGAACAAGACATTTTCTTCGAGAATTTATTGTTGGCGATCCAAAAGCCAGACGAGGACTCACATGGAATGCTGCGCTTTTGCTGTATCTCCCTGAAGGTAAGTTAATACTAGATATATGTGAGAAAGACGTAGGTACTTACATTTTTACTTACTCCTCCCCATAGTTCTGATTAACGACAACGTGTTAGAATTCGGGTTTAAAGGAGCATCGGTCAGAAACATTAAAATTAATTTTAATTTTAGCCCCAATTATCAAAAACAGTGAGGAGTCGTTAATTGATAAACCACAATCACCAAAATGGCAAAAAGTGAAGATCGACACAGTTGAAACTCGTCGAAGAGTCCTAAGACGCCTTCAGAAATTAGTTTCGCAACTATGATTGACATAGGTAGGTAAACATAATAACTCTGTTCCAACACGTCAAAAAATCGTCCCATGAACGGTTTCGAAACCACTCAGTATAACAATTTTAGTTTCTGCGCAGAATCGTGACGGTACATTGTACGGTTTTCTGCTGTGTTGGAACAAAGCTAATATTATTCATTTCTTTTTTTTAAATGTTTATTCCTTTATCAGGAGACACAATAATTAAAATATTCCTGGTTACATACAGGTACACCATATTCTACAATGCATGTATCCAAACTTTTTTGGTAGAATCATTGGTAACGAAATTTCTGTTTTAGATCAACCAGGCCCTTCATGTCGTCAATTTTTATCTACTGAAACTTCTGCAATTCGGGCAGACATTGCTACACCAAGTGGAACCATCACATCTGCAAACATGAAAAAGTCACCAACCAACTTTGTCTCTTAAAACTTTTATTGGTAGGTACCTAAGTGTTATTGCTTAATGAATAACCACCCAGTTGGGAGTAGGTGAATTTTAAAACATCCTAACTCAAGTAGGACTACTACTATAGAAGACTACTAATTACTAAAACTTGCAGTCGAATGCTAGAAAAATTAGAAGCTAAATGTGCGAAAAGCTCGTCTCCAATCTTGATCTATTTTTTTTTTTGCAGGTCATGAGAGACGATGCCAAATTTTAAAGAACATTAACGTCACTAGGCAAAAAATTCCTATCCCCAAGGGAAAAATATCTTTATTCCAAAGTTATAGAATCCAGCAATAAGTTAAGAAGAATCAGTAGAAGGTTGTCGTCATTTAAATCCAAAGTTTCTACTGCTGAATAACTTGCATCATAAACCAAATTTCAAAGGCTCGTAGACCACGTCAATCCATTGATATACAGCTTTATTTTAAGCCAAGTCCGTACTCAAAACCAAAAGCCTAAAGCTAGACGATTTACATTGGACGAGAAGTTGTTGGCGTTGTCTTTGCTTAAAGCTAGTGGTAAAGGGTATAGACTATTATCAAAAATATTTATTCTATCATCCAGGCGAAATCATTTTCTTGAATGAGCTTTATATTATGTATAACTACATAAACTTTCTACCTAACACATGCGGAAAGTGTATTTTCTGGACTTAAAGGCTTGTTTGAACTCTGCTTTTTGTTGTCATTCGTGCAACTTCCATCACGTGCAGAAACACTTTCCTCACTTGTTAGGTTAACAACGATTTTGGATTGTGAGAAAAGGACCTCTTTTGTCATTTTATTTACGATTTAAGTTTTTCATCAAACTATTGTTAAATGTACGTCATTACTTCTTGTAACTGTCCTTATTATCTTTAACTTAACTAGCATTACCTACCTATGTATGTATACTTACATAAAAAAAAACTGTTTCGCAATAATTGTAATTAATTCCATATTCTTTAATATTTTCTGTTTCAAACTTTAATAAATATCTAAATTTGTCATCTTAATTTTTAGTCAATTTTACCTTGAAGGCGCTTCAACACTACCGATTTTATGAGTTTCTTCTTTTTGGCACAATTATTTTATGCCAAAAAATGGTAGAAACTTTAAAGTGGTGGTGTTGAATCGCTAGAATCAAACAATGGTGCAAACGATCCACCGGAACGAATAAGATACCGAACGAACCCTAATTGCGTTTTGCATTCGCCAATAAATCCAGAATTACAAAAGCTTACCCCCCCAGTCACTAGAGGCGCTGAAAACTTATAGACAGGTTCTCAACACGGCACTTACCTTTCTAAGGGGGGATGTTTTGTGGGTCAGACCTTGGGAAAAAACTTTGACAAGCAGTATGTCATGGTGCATGGTGTGTCATTATTTATAAAAAAAAAATCCGTAGCAACCATTTAAAAGGCTGTTCTGAAATAGAATTTCCTTGAATTGTTTGATTTTGATATGACCCAAAATTATTTTAATTCTGTCTGTAGAAAAAACGTTGTTTGCAACTCGTGTGCGAAATGTTTTTGGTGAACTCGAACGATTTTTTGACTCCGCTGCGCGTCGTCAAAAAACTTTCGTTCTCGTTCACTAAAATGGCATTTCGCGCACTAGATACAAAAATAACTATTTTCGCTGATATAGGTTTTAATTAATGTATTCTTATGATTTATAGTAATATTTTCATGGTTAAATTTTTTGTCAAGTTCCCTATTAGGTAAATTTGGAAAACATTTAAGGAGTAGGTGACAGGTGTAACCCAAGAAAGATGAATATGTCTATTTCAGACTAAAAAAAATCATTTTGGATATGCCTACATAACAATATGCACTCTTTTATGGTAAGTAAGGGAAATATTTTGAAAAAAAGATGCATTTCAAATGAAATTTAGATAACTGAACACAGGTATAATAATAGTGACAATGATGGTTTTCAAAAACTTCTTGAGGGAAAGGTAAAAAGAGACCAAGTATGTAGGTATAGGTGGAAAAACAATTTGATTGTGAGCAGAAATTGTCGTTTTGATAAAAAATAATAAAATATTGACTTACACTTCGTGTTGGGGCAGATTCAACGTTACACTGCCCCTAATATCGTCACCATATTTGATGTAGGCCAAGCATCCGACTACCAAATAAGCTGCAGTAACTATGATCATGCCCAAATTTAATACTCCTGCAGGCTTGGTGAATTTTCGGGGTTCCTTCATTTCGTTTTGTAGTGGCAACACCTAAATAAAAAAAAACTAGAGATTTGAAAATGTGTATTTGGTCTTTTCAAAAACTAGGTACTTCTCAACCCCAGCATGACAAACAAAAATATACGTTTTTGACATAGGTATATAGGTACATACTTGCATCTAACTTTCCTCTTGTTATTTCAAAAGTTTCAGAATTTTTCCCTACCTGGTTTCAGTGGTTTCTACAAAAAATATCAAGACATGAAAGAGTATTTTCATTATTGACTCTTTTGGAAGTTGATTTTCTAGGATTTCTTCTGTTGTTATTTTTCACTGGATCAATTTGGAATTTTAATATTATGAGCTCCTAACTTTCTCCTTTTTACTCCAAAAATTTCAAAATTTTCCCCTTACTGGTTTCTCCAGAAAATATCAAAATATGAAAGAGAACATTTTCATTATTTCACTTTTTGTGAGTTGATTTTCCAGAATTTCTTTGGCTGTAATGTTGTTGAATCAATTTGAAATTTGAATATAATGAACTCCTAACCCTATGTAGATTGTGTCGATTTTCGAGTAATTTTATAAACCTGGCAAAATTCAAAGTCGCACAATCAACTCCTTAACTTACCAGTCCAATTCCTTCAAAAGCATAGATAGCGGTACCGAAAAACAACGGTAGCTGTTGCCAGTTGGCTACGTAGCGTCGCTCGGTAACATCGGGAAGATCCTGAGACGCGTAATACAAAACTATGATGATGCCAACGCACATCAGTACATTTGCCAAGGTGGAAAATGGCGCCAAGTACTTCAAGTTCCTTATCAAGGCTGTCAATAGAATGGGAAGAATGATGATTGCCATGTGTAGATGAACGTCTAGAACATAGCCGTAGTAATCTAAAACCTATAGAGAGGAAAAGAATTTATTAAATGTCAAATGGTAATTACCTGTATCATCCTATTTCCAAGAAGAAATAGTGAGTATTTATTTGTTAATTTCTCTTCCTCAATACACAATTTACTACGTAGGTACCTACCTACTATTCCTGTATATCAATATCGTACCTGCTTGATGTTCTCCGAAATAAATACGATATAAACGCAACAGAATCCGAGTTGGGTGACGCACAAGAATACGTTGACCATCCTTTTCATGAATTTGGACATACCCTGGATTTTTGGAGGGCCGTTTTCGAAGCATAGCTCTACTGTCTCGGCAAAGTCCGGGCTGACTTCCAATTTTTTGTGATCGTTGAGGTTTCTAGCTGCTTTTAGCTGAAATTTAAAGAGGATCCTTTATACATGGTAAATTATTGAAATATAAGTCTTTATGTAACAAAGGCCTAAATAGGTATTACCTACGTCTTCACCAATGCACCTAATAATGTAGAAATAGTTATTTTCCTAACAAGTGCGCAAAGTGTTACTTTTCCGCACGCAAACACAGTTATACGAACGACGCGAAGCGGAGTTCGGATACGTGTTTGCGTGCGGAAAAGACACTTTGCGCACGTGTTAGGAACTAAATTTTTCCTACGAGCTTCATATCAGGTAGGTAATAACAACATTTTTTTAAAAAAAAAACGATAATTTGTTTAATTATTTTTAATTAACTTGAAGGGAACCTATGCATTTATCAAAAAATTACATAACAAAAAAAAAGAACAGAAAATCCTCGTCAGAGCTGTTCATCTTAAAGCGTTTAAATTTGATGAGAAAGTTTGTAGATTTTTGCATATGAATAGAGAACAAATCTGATGTGTCAAAGTTAATTTATAATTGGTGTTTCTATAGATGTTGGCTGATATAGAAATAGAGGAAAAATTTGTCATCATGTGTCAAAGTCGACAGGTGCACTTATTGTTGCTTGACAATTATAATTACTTTTCGGCACTCAGTGCGGATAAGGCCTGTATCCGCACTGAGTGCGGAAAAGTGTAACTTTGAGCCCGGAAATGCTTGCGGAAAAGTACTACTTTGCGCACGCTCGTAGGAAAAATATTTTTTCTACTCGCGTGCGCAAAGTTATTACTTTGCGCACTCATTTGCGTGCGCAAAGTTGGACTTTGCGCACGGAAACTCTTTGCGCACTCATTTTTGTTACGCATAGTAACCGCATGTATACTCGATTTTTCAATGTTTTGTGGGTTTCTGGATAAACTTATATTCAGAAAGAAGGGCCTGATGTGATTTTTGTTCCAAGAAAGGCATTCAGGTAATATTTAGCTTTTTTAATTTGATACTTTCCGTATTACGGAGCGAGGGGAGGAAAAATCCAGTAAAAATAGATGTGAGGTCAGGTGACCGTTATTGGCATGGGGAGTCACCTCTGAGGGAGTCACCAACTCACATTCCTTTAGAGTATTAGGTTATAAAAGTCGGAGTGTAAGTTATACTCCCCAACTTAATGGTGCTGCGGAAAGAATGAATGAGACATCAATAGACAAAGCAAAATCTATGATAATGCAAGCAAAAATGGATAATATATTTTGGGAAGATGCTGTACTTGTGGCTACTTAAAACTAATTTAACAAGTCACATGAAAAAATATCATCCTGATAAATTAAGTCTCAATTTGGCAGGAAAAACAAACCTAACGACTTGTTCAAATTTTAAGTGAACCTCGCTAGCAAAACCAATGTTGCAAATAAAGTCAAGCTGATCACTGAAAAAAAAAAATTAAAACACAACACATTGAACTAGGAGAGAAAATTCAGAAAATTACTAGTTTTGAGCATCTGGAAACATTTAAGAAGATTAGGTACAGCTCCTCTCTGGATGCTAAGCAAATCTTCGAACACTCGTAGAAAAAGTATTGTTCCTAACACTTGCGCAAAATGTCTTTCCCGCACTCAAAGCTTATCCGAACTCCGCTTCGCGTCGTTCGTCTAACTGCTTTTTCGTGCGGGAAAGTATCACTTTGCGCACACTTTTGTGTACGCAAAGAAGCCCTTTCCCAAAAGTGTGCGCAAAGTAACTACTTTGCGCACACTATGCGGGAAAAAAATTTTCCCGCACACTTTTTTTTCTGCTACTCATAATAAAATCTGGGGACCCCCTATTTGCCCTGCGAGAGCCCCATATTTGGGGGGCGGAGTCCCGCGGAAGCCACTTTTTTGAGGGGCACAGCCTCGCGAAGGCCCCTGTTTAGAGGGCGAAGCCCTGCGAGAGCCCAATATTTGGGGGGCGGAGCCCTATATTTGGCTGCGAGGTCCCAATATTTGGGGGGCGGAGCCCCGCGGAAGCCCCTTTTTTGGAGGTCACAGCCCGGCGGGCCCCCTTTTTTAGGAGGCAAAGCCCCGCGGAGAGAGGCCGAATTTTTTTTTTGCCGATTTAGATATACCCATTTAGTTACAACAAATTGTTTTTGATGCCTATAGAAATTAAAAATTTAAAAAGGAAGTATAATTAATTCACTCGTAGAAAAAATATTGTTCCTAATACGTGCGCAAAGTAGTTTTCCCGCACTTAAAGCTTATCCGAACTCCGCTTCGCGTCGTTTGTCTAACTGCTTTCGCGTGCGGGAAAACATAACTTTGCGCACTGATTAGGAAAACTACTATTCTCGATTTTGATGTTAGAATGTCATTATTCCCACACGCAAAATCGTTGAAGAATGAAGCTCATTCTTCAACGATTTTTAGTGACTTTTAGTTTTCAAAGTAAACCTATTGGTACCTTCAAAATTGTCAAACCTTCTAAAATGATAGAATTCACCTGTCAGTAGGATGGTAAGTAAGTGTCACCAACTGACATATTTTGCAAATAAAAAATCCCCAACTAACAGCGCCCACAAAAAAATTTGAAAAAATGAAAAATAAAATACAAAATCGAGAAAATAATATAAAACACACGTTCCAGAAGGCTATTCTCGCACTCATTCGTTCGTCCACTCGCTCCTTCGTCGCTCGTGGCCAAATTTCGAATTCGTGCGGGAATATGTGGCCTTCTGCAACTTGTATTTTAATATACTATTACCAAATTTATAATAATTATAATTTAGATTTTAATGATAATCAATGCAGTATTAGGTAAACTATTAAAATATAAATAGATGCATAAATTTTATCTATATACATAGGTATTTGACAATGAAAATATTTAAATTATTATTAAAAATTCGTCAAAGCTCCAGTGTTTTAAGGTAATTATTAATCTATTCATTCTCGTAATTGTTGCTGCACCCAATTTTTTTTTATTATAGTATAATTAGTAATTTTTAAATGAAAAATGTTAATAACCTAATTGCTACTTCAGGATCTAAACTGGTTATATCTGGCTTAAATAATTATTACACCTTATACGTCTTTTAATCCTTCAGGTGGAGAATGTTTGACAGCGGTTAGGTATAATTTACTTGTAGGTAATTGTTCAATATTGGCTATAACATATGCGGAAATATTTTAAATAGGTGCATAAAAAAATAAATTAAGTAGTTAACCATTCTTAAAAACTGTTAATTTGTTCCTTACTTCAATTTTATCTACTGTACGAAAATTAATTTACCTATACCACTGATGGTATTTCATCATTAATCAACCAATAATACGAGTTTTAACGGGTTTTTTCATTATAATTAAATATTTATGATTATAGTCCGGGGGCCGAGGACCTTTTTTCCAAATCATTAATAACAAGCTAGTTTTTTCAATGCAGCTTCATTTCACCGAGACGCCCAACTTTTTTCTCACGAAAATTGCGAAAACAGGTAGCTAACATACTGCGCAGGTGTAAAACATGTCGATTTGGTGACTATAAAAATTTAATCAATAACAGTTAGTTTTTTAGCTAAATGTTGAGATAATTTTATGGATAATTTGAAACAACCTTTGTTCGACAAAATAAAGGGTTTGGTCTACGATGTCCCCCCCTCAAACATGTAGCAATTACGTTGCATAAAAAATGATTAATAACAAGTTGATTTTTTCAATGTAGGTTGGTAAATATTATTACAATTAAATGATCACACTGTCCTACAAATAAACAGGTAGCTATTTTCAGTCCTACGCTCAAAAGTTGTTGATTTCACGATTTAACTTTTTTCATTAATAACCGGCTAAATCTTCGTGAGCATCTTCATTTTGATAAGACGCCCAAATTTTCTTTTGCCAAAATTCCAAAAACAGGTAGCTAACAGAGTGCGCAGGTGGAAAACATGTAAATAATAACAGTTAATTTTGTAGCGAAATGTTGAGATAGTTTCATAAATAATATGAAACAACATTTGTCCGACAAAATAAATGGTTTGATCTAGGCTGTCTCCCTTCTCAAACATGTAGCAGATACGTTACATAAATAGTTATTTATGGACCAAGGCTTGTAAGTGTTACTTTTTTGGCCGAGGATGCAGTTTGCAAGCCAAGGCCTGTAGGGCCGAGGTTTGCAAGCATTTGAGGCCAAAAAAGTACACGCTACAAGTCGAGATGCATATGATATTTTTTGTGCTACCGTACATTCAAGATAATAAATATCATGAATTTGATGGTGCACCTATTTGCTTTGTTCGCGAAGAAGATCCCAAACTGATCCTGAATGCTAATATAAGGAAAGAATCACATCATGAAAAGCCATTGATATGAAACAATATTAATGGCTTTTTATGGTGTGATTCTTACTTTAGCGTTCAGGGTTAGTTTGGGATCGTCTTCGCAAATAAAGCTATTATTTTAACTGGTGTCCAGTTTGTTGTATTATTGTTTAAATTGACCTACTAATTCCATGCACCCTATGCTAGCAACCATTACAATCAAAATTGTGAACAAATTTGGCGTTGTCAACATATTCGTTAAATTGTCTTTTTTTTTAATTGCCAGGCAACGAAATTCTTATTAAAATGTCAAGTTTATTTTGACAAAAAAAAAGTTCAAGTCATAGTCAAGTGTAATTATTATTAGTGAAAAAATGTGCGAGAAAGTAGAAACCGGCGTAGAAGAAGCAGCAGCGAATGCTTGTGCTTTATTGCTGCCCGAAAAATCGAAAGAGAGGTACACATTTATATATTCCAAGTTTAAAGAGTGGCAAGCGGTGAAGCATTTGAATATTGTTGATGAAAATGCACTTTTGGCATATTTCTTTGAGCGTTCCCAACATTTGAAGAGTCCAGCAAGTTTGTGGAGTGAATACTCTATGCTCAAGACAACATTATCCATTAATGACAGTATAGATATTTTTAAATTTCCAAAATTGACAGCTTTTTTGAAAAGGAGAAACGATGGTTATAATCCCAAAAAATCAAATGTGTTTTCAAGACAGTCAATATTTGTTGATGAAGGTAT